ACTACGCCGCTTCTTGTCGCCGACGGTAAATACAAAAAAATGAGCGGAAAATACGTTTAATTTACGATGATTTAGTGGGCGGGAAAATGGCGGAGCTTATTTTTTATCTCCTATTGAAAAACGTGTAAAGCTTGGATTATGCCTGATCTGAATCATGATGGTTCGACAATGTAAAAGCTAAGAATGTAACTTCTGGTTTTGAGTATTCGAACACTTTGGTATTGCTACTATCAGTTAATGTTTGTCGTTTAACAAAATGTATTTTGTTGAAATGCATGTTTACAATGTTAAATCCGGCAAACTCAATCCAAGTATGGCAAACATTGGAGTTTACATACAAAGAAATTACAATTGTATTTTTCCATTAATAAACTGTTCAACTCAGACCAACAAGGCTGGATTTTTGGCAACGAATATACGTCGGCCACGGCATACAGAAAATTGGAATTGAGTGATATGTTAATTTTCGGTTCTGTTTTAATATAGCCACCCGCACTCTTACATATAACTGATTATAAATGGCATACCTGCTTTTGCAACAATACGCACGTCACTAACGTTGTTGCATTTACCTAATGTAAACTATATAGCCTCGATATGCTACTGTCACAGAATGAATTGCTTTGTATTATACAAAGCAATTCATTCTGTGACAGTAGCATATCGAGGTTGAAGAATACTTGTTGGGACAAGAGATTAAACGTCAACTTTCTTAAAAAAAAACTAATAAATTATTATTACTTACGAATTGAAGAAATTCTCTATTTTTCGTCGCGTGTTACTGATAATATCCAAATTTCCATCTTGAAACAACTTACTAAAAAGTACATGTTTGGCTATAATGATATATTTATTAATTAACTATAGGCAAAATGTCCGTTTTTTAACCGCACACAAATGATCTAGAGCGTATTGGTACGTTTATTAGCATCGCTTAAACGACAAAATAGAAAAGGAAACGTATTGATAATATCCAATTATATCTTTAATAGATATCCCAATACAAACGATAAAGCTTCTCTGTCTGTACTTTCATGCCATTTAATTTAAAGCAGCATGCCTCCAGATTCATGCAAATTTTCATGAAAATAAAAAAAAAAGTAAAATATTGTCGAGTGAACAAAGAAAATAATTGTCTTTTACCAGTTACAACCCATGCAAATCAGCAAAATAAAAGAGGTCAATATACACATATATAACTCATTGTGTTAGTAACGCAGTAGAAATATGGTGAAAATACTGCAAAATATATTGCATATAAAGATATTACTTCAGTTTTGAATCTTTTATTGTTCTTATAAATCAAAGTACTTTTCTCTTCTTTGATTTTCTTGAAATAGTTTGATTTCATCTGGAGGCGTGCAGCTTTAATGTAAAATGCATTGATTTTATAAGCATATGTTTGTAAGAATACTAAACCCAACTCATTCAGAATAGGTTATGTATCCAGTTTGGGTAACTTGTTGTACATGTAGTTAAGTGAAAGGTAGATAGCCGTCGAATATTCGTTCAACTCATATGATTCTTGTACAATATATGTTTATAGTTAAGTTTAAACTTATTTATTTTAGCTCGACTGTGAAACAAGTTCTTACAACTTATATAAATCCCTCTCGAGTCCGCTTCCTGGAACCAACCAGTACTGGTGCCAACATATAACGTTATTTGCAAAGTTGATCTCAGAAATATTTTGTTCTTTCAATGGATGGGAAAAACTAAAGGGGAAACACACAAAAAATTCAATCACTACACATGATATGGTGACAGAACGTTTCCACCCCCAGTTACGAGTTGACACTAGACGATTCTACCTCAACCAGTGAATTGTTGTAATACTTTGGAAAGATATAGAATAATATGGTAAAATATGTTTTGTCAATAATTTGTTTCGAAACATCCTGAAAATTCTGGAATGGAATCGTCCTTGGGTCGAAACATTCATAGGGAAACAACCTTTGTTACCTTTCTTGAAGTGTAGCCAAAATCATAAAAGAGAGTGAAAAAAATTTTCGAGACTGAAACCGCTATTTAATGTCCTTGAAATAGAAATCGTTTTACGAATAAATGACGTACTATTACGACCGACAAAAGTTGCCACAAACGCTTACTCTGCACCTAAGTACAAGAGAGCTAAAATATAAAATACATTATAAACATAAATTATGTATAGATGGAAACTTATATTGTTACATTCGATCAATAAATGATGTGATAGATATATAAAGATTAAAAGCAGCTTCAGCATTCATCAGTACCACTCGGCCGTTAAAACTTATCAAACAAGGTAATAAATTCAGGCAAACAGCCCGACGTGTTTGGTTGCCGCGTATATAATATTATACATATGTCTATATCACCATGGTGAACATTGTGTGATAACTTTGCTTCTTTTTCAACTCGGGTATGGTAAACAATATCTCAGGTTTTCCTTGAGGACCACCTTCTTTTGAACAAGATGAAATGTCATGCTCATGTCATCATGTTTCACTCTGTCATAAAATTTTGAAGATCCCGTGAAATAACTGACATGAAACAATATAATAAACATTGTCGATTGTCAATGAAAAATATCTGCATCATTATAAAGACATGTGCAACGCATATCTTTAAATAAGTTGATCCAGAAATACATGCATTGTCGGCTTAACATTGCCAATAAAGACTCTATTCTTTGGTTTGAAGTACTTTTGCCCACTAAAAAGCTTCTTCCTCCTGAATGGGCATCAGCATGGCCTTGTCTGAATAATATCTGTAGCAGACGAACTCTTACGTTTTCTGTGCCCCGATCACTACAAATTAAAGTTGGAACAATGGCGCCTAAATTCTCAACGGTTTGTAGAAAATGTCTTGCAACTATTTTTGGATCGTTATTACTTGTTCCAACAGACAGCCACAAGATTCGCCTACTATATCCATCAATTGCACCATGTATAGCGAATCCGAATGACTTTATTTTGTCATATCCGTCAATATGCCAAACAAAATAGGACCGGGACAAGAATATTGTTGTCGGAGTAATCGCCTTCTCTTCCGCCTTTCCGTTCCAGCTGGATCAGCAATCCACGTTAATCGACGAAGGGTAGAACGATACATCCTTAGTCCGTACTTCAGCCTTAGTCGTTTCCACATTGTTTTGTATCCAATGTTTTTCCCACTCCCTGAAAGTTCCTGAAGTTTTGCTCGAATCGCTTTTTCAATTGTGCTTTCAGGGATAAGTCGACGTAAATTTAGAGATTTAAGTAATCTTTTCAAATGCTAAAACTCAATTTTATTCCATGCACAACGAAAAGAGCACGTTATATTTCTTTGTACTTATATCCCTTGGTGAAATAGTGGGTTATAACCTGCACTGTAGTTTCACGATTCGCTGCGGGTCTTGTGAATGCGCCATAATATCCTCTTACATGGGACAATAGCAGAATAGGCAAAATAGAAAAAAGGATCCTGCAGTATCTTGTTATCAGTGTTTAATTTACTACATTTTTGTATTTTCTGATCGCAAGATCAGTAAATATAAAGCTAACATCCACGGTCTAACACAAAATTTCCTTACAGACATAACAACGCAAAGTAGTTCTCACTCAAAACTGTTAAAAACCAGCAATTTAAAAGAAAGAATAATTTTTAATGTAGGCATTTAACGAATTACAGTGCATTTAAAGTTTGATTAGTCAATAGAAATATGAGGTTACAATCACAAATTTCGCGGATGAATATCTTTTTTACCCAATGAAAAATGTTCGGCTATTTCCGTAAAGCTTCGGATTATCATGAATGCACTTTGATGAATATCATTTTAATCAATGACAAGAAAAGCATTGATGCAAAGCATCAAAGGGCGTCCAAGCAAGAAATGCAGAAAGTGAAGATTAACTAGTAGACATATGATGACAAGATATTCTTATAAACTTTTCAATGGTTAATTGGTTTTTACCAGAATGAACGGACGAAAGACATTGTTCATTATGAACTTTGATTGACATGCTAAAGAGTAGAATATTACTTGTTATTTCTTTATGATCGTGATTATTAATAGCAACGGATATACATGTATACAATCATTTATAATCCATATGAGTAACGCATGATCAACACCACACTTGTAGGATTGTCCCTTATTATGTTATCGCTATAAGCGAAGACCCCCTCTTAAGGTATCTGTTAACACTTAGTAAAAATATGACACTCGTTATATTACCATGTTGATCATGTTGAGCATAATTGTTTATTATTCAATAATTGTCATATCTATTTTAAATTTTATGAATATTTTTTTCCTCTCTTTTTTGTGTTTTATGTGCTATTTAATACTGAGTTTTTACGCTTACTACTCTTTTTTTTAATTAAAATTGTAAAATAAATTTTAAGAATTCAATTGTCACATTGACCGACGATTATAAGTCAAAACTTAACTGGAAAAATTCGGTAAATTATGGTTAATCTTTCAATATATAATATTGTTTATTCTTAAACCATGTACATATGTACATTTGTATTTTTCTTTATCATTGTTTAAATTATCAATCAACTGAATAATTCATAAAATCTAATTTGTAACTTTGAATAATTCCTCGGCATCTTTACTCAACACGAATAACAAATTAAATAAAATGTTTCAAAGCTGATAGTTTCATATTAATGTAACCATACCGACTTTGGACGGATTTTAGCTAAACCGGAAGTTCTATACAGGAAGTTGAGAATAATCATTATTTGGATTGTTTCTTGTTTGTTCATTACGTTTCACTGTGTTCAGTTGTTTATCCCAGAAGCTTTGCTTTCATTGGTCGAAAATAGTTTGTGTATTGTTGTACATGATTGTTTTTTACTGTTGAGCGGGAGTTCTGAGATACCTCAGTTTGGTCACGGTTGTTCTGAGGGTGAACCAAATTAAATTGACTACCTGTCGTAATATTGATATGAATATGATCATCAGCATTCTGATATGGACCCAAATGAGATTGACTACCTGTCAAAGTATTTACATGAGTATGGTCATCTGTGCTTTGGGGAGGTAGCGCATGACCATCATGAATATTTACATGAGTTTGGTCATGTTTGTTCTGAGGGTGAACATCATTGATAATGGTATAGCTGGTTGTTTCTTCGTATTGTGGATCTCCATGGAACTCTGATAGTTTGTAACTTTTGGTTTTATTCTATTTTTTATATTTGCTTAGTTGAACTGTGCATTAATTACTCTTTATTTGCCATTTTGATAAATTATTTGTTTCAATAATTTATTGTAAATTATGATATTTACTTATGTGGAATTTTGTAAAATTAGAATGGCGACATTGGGTAATATTCATTAACTCATTATTTAATTAACTTGAAATAATATGCACATTATTTCTGTCTGTACACTTTATTGATATTTTAACTTTGCAGCAATCTAGACTAATATCACATGTGTGAAAGGAGGTTTGTTGTAATGTGAGGGAAACAGTCAATACCATATATTGGTAAGTTTATATTCTATTGTATTGATTTATGTTTGTCATAAGATGGTCATTATTCTAAGATGTCGTTGAATTGCTGTCATGTGAATTTATTGCATATATCTGAATGCAGGAATTAGACTGAAATGCTGTATAAAATGCATTGTAATGTAATTCACTTGTTTGAATCTTTTTCTTATTAATATTATATGTTTTAGGTTGTCATTACATTACTACCGATGTATCTAAAGTTTGATTAAATGGAGATGAACCTACACGAACTTGGTTTTCTTTGTCACATGTAAAACAAGGTCCAAGTTTACATTAATACCATAAAAATGTACATTTTTTTCTCAATTATTGTACATATTTATTGTTTTTATCTCATATAGATAAAATGAAACATGCTATTGTTGTTGTTGTTTGGTTTTTTTCGAATTGCATGTTTATGTATAATAATAATCAATAAATTTGAGAGTTAATTGATCTATGTTTATTAATTATTGTAACCAAACTAAGTGACAAACATTCATTTTGGAAAAAAGCTTATTTATCTGTAAAATATTTGTTCTGTTCTGTAACGATATCAAACATTTACTCCAAAACCGGGAGAGACCGGACAATAAACGTGGTCTCAACCCGGTACGGAATTAGACCCAGCCCGTTGTAGGCTAGAAAATAGTTCTTTGAAATTTTGAAGTGCCCTATTTCAAGTCATTTTTAATGTGACTGGTTACATTTTAAGTGTATTTATTGTAACAGTGTACATTTAGTGTCATTTCTGATGACTTTAAAAGTTGCTTTTTTGTGTATTCTGCAGGATCTCATTTCTTGGTGGAAGGATTCGAGAAGTACTACACGCCAGCATACATGACATTTGAAACTTTGATAATTTGACAGTGACTTAACAAATTAAGAAATATTGTGAAATCTAGATGGCTAACATAGGACATTTCGGGCTTCGACTAACTTGTCTAGTGTTGATGTTTAAAGTTATGAAATACAGAATTCTGCTGAGTTTAATAGAAGTCCATAATGAAGCTTTAAATGTGACAGATTTACTATAGATTAAAGAAGGGCGAAAATGGACAAGGCCGTGTCCTAAATAAGAAATATGAAAAATGGGAACTGGTTGATGGATATGGATGAAACTTTGCATCAGTGTTATGTTTATGAATAGAAATCAGGAAAATAAAGGATAACTGACAGGTTTGAAAAATTTAAATTTTATTTCAAATTTTAAATTTTGACATTTTAAATTGTGACAGATGTTGTTATTGTTGTCTCCCCTTCAAATGTAGATGTCTGCTACTGTGTCTGAATAAGTGCAGAAGAAGGGTGCAGAGCTTTTGCATGAAGGATTAACCACATTTTATTGAATTAAAACTGTAAAAATGAATTTAAAATTAAAAAATCAAATTTAAATTTTTTTTAAGCAGTTAATAAATTGGTAAATTTTATTTTTGCACCCTGTGTTTAGCAATTTACTAGCTCTATAGCTTATTTTTATAAGATTTATATAGAAAATGATATTTTTTAGAGAAATGCATCTTAAATTATGGATAAACCATGCATAGCAAGGAATTGGGGAGTGCATGTTTTCAGGCTGGTTACATTGGCAAAAAGGTGATTGGCAAGCTCATTCCAGAGGTCTTAGGGGCCCAAGAAGCACCGGCCATGGGATTCGAACAAGCACCATAGTAGCCTATTGCACATATGGACCACACATTATATGCACTGATGTTTCAGCAAAGAGTTGATGCTGCAGTAATCAGATTGTAAATATTCACTAGTGTCTTGTATTTCAATGAAGCAGAACTGACAATTGAACATGACACATGTGATTTACATGTTGGAAATATAGGCATTTTCAGTGTAGTGAATCTTGATGTTTTACTGTGTTGCAGAATGTATATAATTGCTAATTTATACACACAAAAAATGGTCTAGTCATAAAACAGTGTAGTTTATGGATAATTGGCTCATTTAGAATTATAAAACAGTTGATGTGATTGTTCTTGTTGTTGTTGTAGCAGCTGCTACAGCAGTTAAAATAGGTTAGCTTTATAATGTCGTAACTGCTATTTCCATGCAGGCATGCATTTTAAGCACACAATATTTAAGCCCTCCTGTGTGAATTAGCAAATCAAGCCATTGATTAATTAAGAAATGTTTTTCTTCCTTTTTTTTGATATCAAAATTACAGCACAAATGCCTCTTATAATTTCCTTCGACATGTTTTAGTGTTGCATATTTTTTTCAGACCATGCAGTTACCAAAGCCGGGGTGACCTTACCTTATATACTGGTTAAGATCTATGGAAGAACTCCTACAGCTCAGTTTGGCAGCAGATTTGTCAGGACAAGATGAGTAGGTAATAACTTATGTCCAGTTTGAAACTTCAGCTATTGACGGCAACAATTCCCAATGCTCGGGCAATATTTGGTAGATATTTTGATGTATATTCAGAGAAAATTTCTCTAATTTTGACTATTTTAAGACTTTTCAATGATTTAAAGTGGGAGACAGTATGAGCAATCAATTTTTAGCCTTATTTGGGTGAGAGTTGGTTAATCTTACTTTGTCAGAAGACATAGCCCATGGGGATATGGTAACCTCTTTGCTAAACTTAAGATTACCTCTGTTTGTCTTTATTGATATCTTAAGCAAACAATTTGTAGGGTATATATCTTGGTACTTTACTTTATTTACCATGCTATATAGGTAAAAATCATAATCAGTAAGTTTTATTGCAAAATTGAAAGAAAAAGTTATGAAAAAAGCACATTTAATTGTGATTACTTGTATTTTAACCCAAAATTTCATGCCCTCATTAAAATAAATGGAGTTATTATTACAATTTGTAAGCAATAAGGGCTTATTCTTTCATAAAAATAACTAAATGACATTAGCCGGTAACAGTTAACTTTATTTGAAGAAAATCCATTTACAAAATCAAAAGATATCACAGAATTTGTGATATAAATTTTTGCGTAAAATTCTATTGGCCGAGGCTGATTTTTCGCATGAAGTTTCATATGTAAGAAATTGTACTGCATTAATGTTATTTTTTGTTACAGACATGTCAAACCTATATGATTGTACTTGTATAACAATGAATTACTAGGAAATGAGTATAAATTTTGACTTAACTTAAATTTTGGATTCATTTAGGACTCAACCCGGTACGGAATTAGACCCAGCCCGTTGTAGGCTAGAAAATAGTTCTTTGAAATTTTGAAGTGCCCTATTTCAAGTCATTTTTAATGTGACTGGTTACATTTTAAGTGTATTTATTGTAACAGTGTACATTTAGTGTCATTTCTGATGACTTTAAAAGTTGTTTTTTGTGTATTCTGCAGGATCTCATTTCTTGGTGGAAGGATTCGAGAAGTACTACACGCCAGCATACATGACATTTGAAACTTTGATAATTTGACAGTGACTTAACAAATTAAGAAATATTGTGAAATCTAGATGGCTAACATAGGACATTTCGGGCTTCGACTAACTTGTCTAGTGTTGATGTTTAAAGTTATGAAATACAGAATTCTGCTGAGTTTAATAGAAGTCCATAATGTAGCTATAAATGTGACAGATTTACTATAGATTAAAGAAGGGCGAAAATGGACAAGGCCGTGTCCACGTGTGATACTATTCGCCGGTCACTAGTAAATCCCGGTCAAAATAGACCGGGAGAGACCGGGAATTACCGATAGGAGTACATCCCTCTATAAATAGATTTTCGGAATGTTTAGGTCATCAACTCATTCCCTGCGGTCTGGAGACCGCAGGGTATTGGTACGCGTTTAACTTTTGAGGCATGGAGGAGCACGTGACCTGTTTTCAGCACATTGAGGAGCATGTGATCTGTAAACCGTACATGATTGGTTAATTGACCTTTTTGAAAACCTGGCTAAATACCGTTTGCCGGTACGTTACGGATTTACCTCTAGGGAATTAGTCAGAGTAACACCTAATAAAGAACAAACAGCTATTACGTGATATTTCTAATTTTCTATAATCATTTTACCGTTTAAGGTGGAAAAACTTGAATGATGTGTTTGAAAATTATCAATGTTTCTTTAATATGTATCTCAAATTTTACAAACAATTAATTGTTTACACTGAAAATCTACAAAATTAAAATATTCGTAGTGGCATCTGCCAGAATAAATAGAGATATTTTCTGCGTAAACTTGTGTGTTTACTTCTTTTGCTCGGAATAATTCAAACAATGGTGGGCCTATTTAATTATTTTCTTAAAAAGAAATAATTGTTTTATGTTCGACCTTCTCCGGTCATCAACCGTCACCAGTTTCCAAAGACCTTCTTCTATATTGATCGATTATTGTCAACTAGAGCCTCGTTACAGCCGCAAACAGTTACCCTCGAGCTAGATATTCCGGTCTGTACCGACAGCCAGTGTAAGATTCTTATAGGTTCAAATCCTAGTCGAGGCAATTTTATTTTTTTTGAAGTGTCTTTTTATTTGTTTGGGTCGTCAGACCAAACAAATAATGGTAGCGAAATTTCAGACTCTAATGCTGTTAATTGCAAGTGCCGAAAGTAGTCCGCTTTTTTGAAGCGGTTACTTCCCTTTATATGTAACACTTATGCTTATTTTTTATAGATATACATGCTTATAGTAAGCGCCATGATTATTTACACAAGTGTTAAACAACAGTTAGCGTCGTTACAAACCCTAACTAGAATAATATGGTTTTCTTCAGGCCGTAAACATGTAAATTCACCGTGGCCAAGGGGAATGCGCGCTCGCTTAAGAAGCGAGAGGTCTGGAGTTCAAATCCCAGTTAAGGCAACTCATTATTTTTTCAAATTGTTTAAGTCAAATAAACATTGAATCGAATATCAGTGTTGCAACTAGTCTTATAGCCAATCTACTACAATTAAAACGCTGGAAAGTATTGGTGCAACTATACAATCAAAGCGCTGAAAGCACTGCTGGGGGCGCATTATGTTGATTGTATAGTGGTCTATTGTTACAAGCAGATGCCATTCCTACTTTCAAAGCAGATGTCACATTTTTACTCGATTATTCGATAAGAATAAGTAGAATTATCCTAGTCATCTGAACATTGGCGTCTATCACCTCAATTTTTCCCGAAGTCCATTGACATATGGCATTGAAACTTTGCACACTTGATCCCGATCAGGCACCCATTTGTTAAAGATTGCCTATGGCTTCAAGATATTTTCGTATTCCATAGACATCTGGCTTTGAAATAAATTGAAATGTTATACATTTCTTTGCGAGCATACTAGCTAGGACTCTCTCCAATGCTTATATCTGTAGAATATTGGGTTTAAAGAAATTTTTGGTCCTTTTGTGAACTTAAAATATTTTAAATAACCAAGGTTCTTCTATTGTCAAGCACTAAGCATATAGTTGAGTGTGCTGTCCTACCAACAGCTATTGTTTGCATACCTTGTGAAATATAACTCCTTCAAACTTTTGTTCAGTTATTATTATACAAACACAAGAACTGTCTGAGGACAGTAAGGCTCGACTATTCGAAAAGGTTGTCACAAGGGTGTTTATTGAGTATAAAAATGCTTACCAATGAATACATAAAACTGACCGAAAAGGTACAAAGGCTTGGATTAAGATGTTTTATCAAGTAAATCACTGCTTTATTATCATGAATGCATAAAATTGTCCCAAAAAAGGCACAAACCCTTCAGTAGTTATGGAGATAACATGCTTACAAGCAAAACTTTACCATTAAATTCTAAGTTGAAAAAGGGGAGAAAAATAAGCCTAAATTCTCGATAAAATTATGGATCTTGGTCAGTAACCTACATGTACAATTATGACCCTAAATGCACGTGAAGTTTTAATATTGTAAGCAGAGTTATCCAATTTGTCAATCTGATGTACATTGTTACTATAAATAACTATTGTAAGTTTCAATTGAATATCTCAAGCAATAATTGAGATATTTGACTTTAAAATAAACTTAAACCAACGCAGACGCGGACGCTGGGTTACTACAATAGCTCTCATATTTTTCAAATAGTCGAGCTAAAAACTACCAAGTCATGGTTGAGACCATATAGTTAATTATTCCATATATAAATATATATGTATATATCATGGAAAACATTTCAAGATGTTACAATGGATTGTAGTGTATAACAAGAAAATCAGTGTACTTTAACTTTAATCCAATAATCATACAAACATCTGTAAATAACTGGAACAAAATATTTCTTAAATAAAACCATACAAAACAAGAGGGCCATGATAGCCCTAGATCGCTCACCTGACTTATCAAACTCATCCAAACAATTACCTAGACAAACATTCTGACCAAGTCTCACGACAGGTGAGTCAAAAATGTGACCACTACAGTGTTAACAAGGATTATCCATATTTGAGCAGTGCGACCTTGTTTTTTACTCAGGTGACACATATTCAAACTTGACCTAGAAATCATCAAAACAAACTGTCAGACCAATTTCCAGGATACTTGGATCAAAACAGTAGCAACAAGAGTGTTAACAAGATTTTTCTATTTTTAGCTCCGGTGACCTAGTTTCACATGCGATTTCGAACTCATCCAAGCAATTACCTAGACAAGCATCCTGACCAAGTTTGATGATAATTGAGTCGAAAATGTGACCAGTAGAATGTTAACAAGGCTTTTCCATATTTGGGCGGTGTGACCTAGTTTTTCATCCAAGATGACCCATGTTGGATCTTGACTTAGAAATCATCACAACAAACTTTTAGACCAATTAACAGAATATTTGGATCACAACAGTAGCCACTAGAGTGTTAACAAGATTTTTCTATTTTTATCTCCTGTGACCTAGTTTTTCATCCGAGATGTCCCATGTTCGATTTATTCCCAGCAATGACCTAGGCAAGTTTCCTGACCAAGTTTGCTAACAATTGAGTCAAAATTGTGACCACTAGAGTGTTAACAAGGTTTTTCTATTTTTAGCTCCTGTGACCTAGTTTTTCATCCGAGATGACCCATTTCCGAACTCATCCGAGCTATCACCTAGACAAGCATCTTAATCAAGTTTGATGATGATTGATGCAAAAATGTGACCACAAGAGTGTTAACAAGGTTTTTCTATTTCTACCCCAGGTGACCTACTTTTTCATCCAAGATGACCCATGTTCAAACTCATCCGAGCTATCAACTAGACAAACATCTTGACAAAAGTTTGATGATGACTGATGCAAAAATGTGACTGCTAGAGTGTTAACAAGGTTTTTCTATTTTTAGCTCCGGTGACCTACTTTTTCATCCGAGATGACCCATGTTTGTACTCATCCGAGCTATCACATAGACAAGCATCTTGACCAAGTTTGATGATGATTGATGCAAAAATGTGACCGCTAGATTGTTAACAATGTTTTTCTATTTTTAGCTCCGGTGACCTACATTTTCATCTGAGATGACCCATGTTCAAACTCATCCAAGATATCAACTAGATAAGCATCCTGACCAAGTTTGATGATGATTGATGCAAAAATGTGACTGCTAGAGTGTTAACAAGGTTTTTCTATTTATAGCTCCGGTGACCTAGTTTTACATCCTAAATGACCCATGTTCGAACTCATCCGAGCTATCAACCAGATAAGCATCCTGACAAAGAGTGATGATGATTGGGTCAAAAATGTGACCACTAGAGTGTTCACAAGGTTTTTCTATTTTTAGCTCCTGTGACCTAGTTTTTCATCAGAGATGACCCATGTTCAAACTCATCCAAGCAATTGACTAGACAAGCATTCTGACCAAGTTTGATGATGATTGGTTTAAAAATGTGACCACTAGAGTGTTCACAAGGTGTTTCTATTTATAGCTCCTGTGACCTACTTTTTCATCAGAGATGACCCATGTTTGAACTCATTCGAGCTATCACCTAGGCAAACATCCTGACCAAGTTTAATGATGATTGGGTCAAAAATGTGACCTCTACAGTGTTCACAAGGTTTTTCTTTTTTTAGCTCTTGTGACCTAGCCTTTCATCCGAGATGACTCATGTTCGAACTCATCCATGCTTTCAACTAGATAAGCATCCTGACCAAGTTTGATGATGATTGAGGCAAAAATGCGACCGCTAGAGTGTTCACAAGCAATTGTGGACGGACGACGGACATTCACCGATCCTTAAAGCTCACCCTGAGCAAGCTCAGGTGAGCTAAAAACAAAAACTGATGACGACAGAACGGGTATCACTTTATGCCTATAAAATTTTTTTTGCTGAAGTGATTTTTTTTCGAAGAGCTACATGTGAAATTGCTGCCAAATATACATAAGTAAAATCTATTTCAAAGCTGCATGCATTCATATAAATATATTTAAAAAAAATCAAACTTGATTAAATAAAAAAAAAGTTCAAGGATAGCCCAAACTTGTTAATTATAAAAAAATATATATACAGAATATTATGTTGTAGTAGCTCTCTGAGGCTTTTTATTTTGCTATGAGCAGCGGTGGGAAATTGATATCTTGCGAGACTAAAGGGCGAGCTAGATAACAATTTTCCAACATTGCAAGTAGAAAAATGCATAGCCTCAGAAAGCTACTACAACATAATTTTCCTTTAATAATATACCTTTTCGTTTGAAGTATAAATGATTTTCATTATACTACACTTTTATAAGAAATTTCAGAAAAAGAAATGTAGCTGTCAAGAAATAAATTATGACTGACAGATGAATACGTAATTTGTGCAAAACCAGCCACACCTTTTATTATTTTGGTTGCCGTTTCCACAGCTAAGATCAGAACCAACATTAACAATAACCGGTTGAACCGGTGATGCTCCCCGAGAAGGTTCTGGACACTGGAAAGTATAAAAAAAATGAACAAAGGGCAAAAACCCCAAAATTAGGCAAAGCGGAGTTATGTTTTTTTTTTGCACTGCACTTCTATTCAATTAGATCTATCCATCTATAAAGTTGCCTGATGATATCAGAGTTATGTCCAAGGTAAAATTCAAAGTGTAAAAATGAAATTAGGGTAATAACTCCAAAATTAGACCAGGCTTTCTTTAGGTTCTTTAAGCATTGCAGTTCTATCCAATTATATCTAGCTACCTACAAAGTTTCATGTTGATATCTCTAATAGTTTTAAAGTTATGTCTCGTACAAAAGTCAAAAAGTAAAAATAAACAAAGGGCAATTACTTCAAAATAAGGCAAGGCAGAGTAATAATTCTTAAGCACTGCTTAGAGTAATGTCCCGGACAAAGTTCAAAGTGTCAAAATGATCAAAGGGCAATAACTCCAAAAGTAGGCAAGACAGTGTTACAGTTCTTGTGCACTGCAAACTTACTCAACGATATCTATCTACCTACAAAGTTTCATGTTGATATCTCTTTTACATTGAGAGTTATGTCTCGGACAAAGTTCAAAGTGTAAAAATAAACAAAGGGGGATAATTCAAAAATTAGGCAAGGGAGAGTTAAGGTTCTTGTGCACTGCTTACCAACTCAATGAAATCTATCTACCTACAAAGTTTCATGTTGATACCTGTTATAGTTTTAGAGACAAAGTTCAAAGTGTAAAATAAAGAAAGGGGGATAATTCAAAAATTAGGCAAGGCAGAGTTACGGTTCTTGTGCACTGCATACCAAGTCAATGAGATCTATCTACCTACAAAGTTTCATGTTGATACCTCTTATAGTTTAAAGGTTATGTCCCGGACAAATTTCAAAGTGTAAAATAAACAAAGGGGGATTATTCAAAAATTAGGCAAGGGAGAGTTAAGGTTCTTGTGCACTGCATACCAAGTCAATGAGATCTATCTACCTACAAAGTTTCATGTTGATACCTCTTATAGTTTAAAGGTTATGTCCCGGACAAATTTCAAAGTGTAAAATAAACAAAGGGGGATTATTCAAAAATTAGGCAAGGCAGAGTTACGGTTCTTGTACACTGCATACCAAGTCAACGAGATCTATCTACCTACAAAGTTTCATGTTGATACCTCTTATACTTTTAGAGTTATGTCCCGGACAAAGTTCAAAGTGTAAAATAAACAAAGGGGAATAATTCAAAAATTAAGCAAGGCAGAGTTACGGTTCTTGTGCACTGCACACCTACTCAATTAGATCTATCTACCTACAAAGTTTCATGTTGATACCTCTTATAGTTTTAGAGTTATGTCCCGGACAAAGTTCAAAGTGTAAAAATAAACAAAGGGGAATAATTCAAAAATTAGACAAGGCAGAGTTACGGTTCTTGTGCACTGCACACCTACTCAATTAGATCTTTCTACCTACAAAGTTTCATGTTGATACCTCTTATAGTTTTAGAGTTATGTCCCGGACAAAGTTCAAAGTGTAAAATAAACAAAGGGGAATAATTCAAAAATTAAGCAAGGCAGAGTTAAGGTTCTTGTGCACTGCACACCTACTCAATGAGATCTATCTACCTACAAAGTTTCATGTTAATACCTGTTGTTGTTTCAAAGTTAAGTCCCGGACAAGAAAAGGGGATGGACGGACGGACGGACAAGGCGGGGACTATATGCTCACCCGAAATTTTTTGGGGAGCATAAAAATAGTCCAGGCCTTTCATATATGGTACTGTATTTGTCTCTAACATAATACAGAATTTTCTAACCGTTGAAAACTATTTGCGCTTCAAGATAATCCTGTGTTTTAGGAAGAAAATTTATAGGTATATAATAAATGCTGTCATTGACATTTCTTATGCTTATATTTATTATATGTATTTCTTGCAATCCTATTTATAGCTACAAATTCTATGAATTAAAATAGAAATGAAGGTAGCATGCAGACGGTGTTGATATTGTGTGATAAAAATTTAAAGATCATTGGAAATCATCCCAGTAACCGAATACTCTAAATGACCGAGTACTCGAGTATTGATTTTAGTAATTGTTGCCATCCCTAAAAAAATTAAGTACTTGACAAGATCAACTAACATCTAAACTAGAAATGTGTCATCATGCCACGGATGCCCCCGCATGCAGCCAAAATTTCTGATGTTATTATATTTAGTTCCAAATTTGTTTGCACAAATTATTGTTTTCATTTTAAGTTCAAAGCCCTTAAAACTTTTCAATGTTAACACAAACCATTTTCATACAATGTTCAAAGCACTGAAATTATTCAGTCTTAACCTTTTGAAAATAGCATATTTCATATTTGTAGCCAAAATAATGGCTACATACATTTCCACAAAAGTATGAGTGCTGAAACTGAAAGTTCAAAATTTTTTCCAATATTCAAGAAAGATAAGTTTGTCCAAAATCATTGAACCACGACCAAATTCAAACTTAAACTGCCTATTCCTAAGATGTATCTATATTATTTTCAAAGTGAAAGGGACATAACTCTGCCAAAAAAATCATCGAACCATGACCAAATTCCAACTTGACCTGCCCATTCCTTTGACATATCCATATGTCAAATTTGAGTAGAATATGTAACACTGTTGGGTAGATAATGAACAGAAACTTTAAATTTCATATTTTTTTGAAAGTGAAAAGGGCATTACTCTGCCAAAAATTATTGAACCATGACCAAATTCGAACTTGACCTTGGCATTCCAAAAAAATATCCATATGTCAAATTTGAGTTGAATGTGTTGTACTGTTGGGGAGATAATAAACAGAAACTGAAAATTTCATATTATTTTCAAAGTAAAAGGAGCATAACTCTGCCAAAAATCATCGAACCATGACCAAATTCAAACTTGACCAGTATTTTCTCATGACATATCCATATGTCAAATTTGAGTTGAATGTGTTGTACCGTTGGGGAGATAATGAACGGAAACTGAAAATTTCATATTATTTTCAAAGTAAAAGGGGCATAACTCTGCCAAAAATCATCGAATCATGACCAAATTCGAACATGACCTGTATTTTCTCATGACATATCCATATGTCAAAATTGAGTTGAATGTGTTGTACGGTTGGGGAGATAATGAACGGAAACTGAAAATTTCATATTATTTTCAAAGTAAAAGGGGCATAACTCTGCCAAAAATCGTTGAACCATGACCAAATTCGAACTTGACCTGTATTTTCTCATGACATATCCATATGTCAAATTTGAGTTGAATGTGTTGTACCGTTGGGGAGATAATGAACGGAAACTGAAAATTTCATATTATTTTCAAAGTAAAAGGGGCATAACTCTGCCAAAAATCATCGAACCGTGACCAAATTCGAACTTGACCTGTATTTTCTCATGACATATTCATATGTCAAATTTGAGTTGAATATGTGCAACCGTTACTAAGATAATGAACGGAAACTGATGATGACGGAATGACAGAATGACGGAATGACGGAATGACGGAAGGACGGAACAGGGTAACACTATATGCCCCGGCCATTACATGGCGGGGGCATAATAAAAAACTTTGAAAACAGAATTAATTATTTTGAAAAATTCACTCTGAGCTGTATTATTTAAAATGGGTGTTCAAACACATTGAAAACATTGATAATTCATTTCATGTTCTTGGTGATGAAGTGGTGCCTCAATATAGTTATCACTGCATTCTATCTTCCCTCATAACTCCTACTATTACTGTATCTGTCAAACAAGCATCTCTGTTTTCTGAAATAGAGTTTTGAAAAAGTTTATTGCTGACCGAGATATTCCATACTTGTATGTTAACTTTTTTTCAGCATCTTTCTGTTAGAATTACTCTGATTTATAAAGGTATAAAACCAAAAAATGCGCGACCAATGCCAGAGCTCAACCCCTCTGATCAGATTTCACAAACGAGCATCTGAGTAGAACCACCGCCTTTTTTTTAAAGCTAGCTGGATTGCTTTCTCACATTAAAGAATCCATATTAAATATAATAGAACATTGATAATTGCTACACAGTCTCTTTGTAAATATAAAATAAGCATGTTTTGTGTTTACATAAAGTAGCTATGTAATGTTAAAACACCACATGCTATAGTTGGTCACAATATAAATATATAGTGTTGTTAGGAAACTGACAGTTTTTTTAAGAAGGACCAAATTTTTTTTTGTCTCGTAAGAAGGAACATGGCTTCCAATGCATAGTTAATTCATTCAAATTAGACATATTCAAAAAGAATTGCATAGAATTCAATACATTTTCATGATTAAAATATTTTACTGATGAGCATAGTATATCTTTAAAGGTAAGTGGTTTAGGTGCATTACTTTGACTATGGTCACCCCAATTAAATCTATTTATTTGCTTAGTAACACAACTTTTTAAAGTCATATAAATTTGTAAATGTGAGTGATTCTGATAATCTATATACAGCTAAGTCAAGATGAGATGATTAGGTTTTACTGACTGCTTACTACATGAAGTCACTATTTCAATGTCAAATGCCTTGAGGTGAAAGGAATGAAAACTTGAATTTCAAAATACAATTTAAGTGAATTACATGTCACAAATGAGCCATGTCATGACAAAACCAACATAATGGGTTTGCGACCAGCATGGATCCAGACCAGGTTGGTCTGATCAGGATCCATGCTGTTCGCTTACAAACCTTATTACAAGTAGAGAAACTGATAGCGAACAGTATGGATCCTGATCAGACTGGGCGGATGCCCATTATGTTGGTTTCGTCATGACACGGCTAAAATGTTTTTGCTATCGACTTTTGTTCCTAAATTAACAACAGATTGCATAATGAAAAGATATTGAAATAATTAATATACAATTGGCTCTAAGTGCCAAGCTTACAGATTTTAAATAAACTTTGAGCCCTGTGTTGGCCTTTAAACATGTCAAACATTTAGAAAGTATTTATTAAGGAAAAGTGTATACAAATAATCATGTACCTCTTCATTATATGCCCATGACATTGAAAAAACATTGTGTCATCTGTTTACTTCAAGGTTAGTCACATTGACAGTATCACATTTTAGACTTCATCTCTCGTGATTCCATTCATAAAAAGCATCCTCAAAATGGGTCCTCTTAATTTCACATTCATCAATCTGACAAAAACCTCCTGGAAAAGAAGTTAGAAACATATGCCACTAATTATGTCAGTTAATGTCAAATAAATACTTTGAGAAACTATTTGGTCAAAATTGTAAATATACAAAGATTTTCAAACCAAATATATATATAACAATGAACATTTCCTTTTTAACTTTCTAACATATATAATGTATGGTCTTACTTGAAGAAAATGTTTGCCCGTGTGACCGAAAAGGGATTAAGGACCATTACTATTGTTTTTCCTTTTGTTTATTAAAGGGCCATGGCCCCATATTCTATTGTTATGGAATGAATTCTATTGTTCTCTTTTGTTATGCTACAGTAAGATGGATATATATATCAAAGTCAAAAAAAGCTAACATGTTTTTACCTTAATGGCCTGTATAATTATGTTTCACAGCTTCTCAGCAAACAACCAACTGAGCCACAATTGAAATCTAACAAACAAGCCTTTATTCACAAACCTGAAATAAAAACTTTTCCTAATCAATACAATAGTTCTTTTAATTTATTACATACTTCATTGAAACATTAAGAAATATTGATAAAGTAAAATGCTCATTTTCATTTCCTGTATTTTCAATGTAATTATTCATTTTTCATTGCGTATTTTCACAAGTGTCTCCTAAATTTAGCCTATACACAATAGACTGTAAAGAATAATAGGGCAATTTCTTTATAATTTCAAGTATTTATAGTCGAAACAGTCCTTTTTAAAGGCATATATAAGGGTAAGTTGAATGTTGCATGTCCAGATATGATTGACTAACAATAATTATTGTAAAAGTGAGTAATAATTGTCGGAATCATAGCTCAATCGGTAGAGAACATAGCTCGAGGTTACCAGATTTCAAAAAAAAAAATTATTAATTTTGTTCTGACATGTCAGGAACAACTTAGACATGTCAGGTACAACTTGAAATTTAAATGAGTTTTTCGTTTGATTGATTTTTTCATCAAAAAAAAAAACTTGAATAGAAAATAGAACAGTTTCCACCTGTAGTTTGGAACCCACTAACTGAATTCACTTTTATATCAATATTATGCAGTCTTAAACTTATTTCACTAGTAAGTCAAATGATTTATTATCTCAAACAATGTAATTACATGTAGTATAAGTTTTATGGAAATAATGTGGTTAATCACTTGCAGTTAATCAAGGCTTGACAAATCCACTTGTCCGCTCATAAATGATAAATACGAGTAAAAATGACTCTGGACAAGTTAATCTCCCAAAAATGCCCGTCCTGCAGGACGTGTGAAATTTCTAGCATAAATTAATCAAATTTCAATTCAATTCTTTTGAAACCATTTTTCAAGTTTTACTAGTAGGACAGAGCACAAAATAATTCCCCTGTGTTTGATGGGCAAAACTGATGTTGATTTGTTGAATGCAACGCTTAATTCTGTCTGATTCTATTTTGTAAAAACTTACTAAAAGCCCGTGCGGCGATTCCAGTATGTTCCACAAATTTTTTTTAAAATGTCACAATGCAATATTTGGCAAATGTTTAGCCAGAAAGAAGTAAGTTAAACAGTGTCTTCAAAAAAGAAAAAATGTCTTCAAAAAAGAAAAATGAGCCAGAACATGTAGGAAATTTATATTTTTTAAGCATTGTTGTTGTTGTTGTTTTTCGTTTTTCAATCCCTGATATATTATTTGTAGTATTTGTAACTATTATCTATTCTATTTGTAATAAATAAAAACCCACGGCACCAATCTATTATTCTATTTATCCTGTCACCGTTTTTTAAAGACTTTTATTAGGCAAAATACCTTTAATCACACTATCGGAAATGTTTCTATATAAACAAAGGTCTGAAGCGTTCATTATTCTACAACATTGCACTCGCCGTTCTTATTATCTCCCTGTGTATTTTCACATTGAGGGCGCCATTTTGTTTGAAAAAATGTGATAAATAAAAACAATTTTTTGTCGAACTTTGTTGTGAAAACTATCTAGAATGAAAGAAAATAGTCTAACTAAGAAAATGAATTCGAACACCAATATCTTTTATTCAGTCGTTAACGCTGTACAGACGTTTAAAGTATTGTTTACGTGACGTCACAATGTAGCGCCAAACAGCGCGTGCAAAACAATCAAATCGAGTACGCTATTTTAATGTCTCAAACGAGTTAAGTTTTAAATTTATTTCACTTTTAATAATTTTTATTTCGCTTGAAAAATTATAGAGTGAAATAAAATAAACAAATAAAGTTTTATCAACGTTTCCAAGATTCGTTATTCTACACACAGAAGATTTAACAACAGTTTTTATATTTTTTCTTGAAAAGTAGTCCGGCAAACATGCATACCACGTGACCAAGTGCCGTAGATCAGTAAAAATATACGGCACCTTGTTATCGGGCCGAAATTAATACAAGTGACAGGATAAAACTACATCTGACAGAGCAATATTTGTACCTAGTTCATTTTATACTTCCGAACATTATTTATGTACATGTACTCATTTTTTTCACTCCAATAAGAAATCAATATATTATGCATGGTTTAACTTTAAATGTGTATAAATATTATGCATAATTCTCATGTCTCCCTGGATAAAATTCTAAATTAACCATGTGGCATGAATACCTGTCAGTTATGTAGTATCAATTTGAGTCAAAACGCATTTTTCCCAAAAAAAAATTGTACTGGTAGCGTATAGATGTTACACAGAACTAAGCAAATGTCAGGGTTTTTCAATGCTAATCCCCAGTGTAAATATAATTATAACCTTACTCAAATTTCTTAAAATGAGGGGTGAAGTGTCTGCAAAAAAGGGCCTAGGGTGAAGTGTCTGGGGGGTGAAGTGTCTGTAAGCCGAGGTGATGGACAAGGCAAGACATGTCGATTTTTTTTAGCTTATTATGAAGTTGCAGTACATGAGAGACTGGCACATGATGAATCAGCACATAAATAAAACAATCTAGTGTTCTGTGGTTTCTAAGTGTCATACCTCAGCTCTTTTCCTTATTACAATGAAATTTTACATGATTGTTATCCACCGCTGGTTTGTTTTAAGCAGTGAATGATAGGTACCGTTTCAGCAGATTTCGCAAAGAGGGTACAAATATGGATTATGCACCGTGGATCCAGTTCATTCTTTGAGAAAATGTAATAAGACATCATTACTGAACTTGTATATTTTTTATTTAAAAAAGCTGTAAGGTAAGCATCAACAATATGTATACGCTAGATGTAAATAACTCACCTCCAAAAAATATATAAAAAAAAAATGGGTCAAAAATGTCTGGGTAGGAAATGGTTTGAGGGAGGACTTTCAAGGGAAGGAACTGCTAAACTTAAAATTTGATAAGGTCAATTCAGTACAAAAAAGCTTTACCCGATAATGGCCGATTGTGAAGAAAATTTGTAAAAAATACAGCTTTTGATTGCAACTTAAATATCAACGTTATGAAATATAAACAATGAACATCAGTCATCTTGAATAACGTTGTATTTAAAGTCATATCCGGTATTAAGTCCTTGTATTTTTTGTAAGCAACCAGAATCGCCAACGATTTGACGACGATTTCGCCACTGATAAATGGATAAATGCAAAACAAGCAAAGTTATACAACATTTAGGTAAATGGGAGATAAGGTTTTTGTAATATAAAACTTACAACTCGTTTTAACACGTGGAACTTCTATATAAACTTCTCAATCTTTCACGGATGAACTTGTAAACAATGGCGATTGCGGTAAAATGACGTTAGGGCGAAAATAGTTCGTATTCATACGCATGCATTGTTTTTCTTAAATTTACACTTATGAAGCATTAGGCCCTATAAGCTTTAAAGTTAGCTGATCTGAAATCCGTATTCCATTACTTGCTAAATTTTTGAGTTCTATGACACTTAATTAACTTGTGACTACATGTAATTTGTACTATATTTATGCAAGTACTTTGGCTATGATCGACCGCTGGCGTAGTAATATTAAAATCGCGTAAAGCAAAAATATACATACAATTTTAAAAGACGATTGCTAAATTTAGTACAAAATTGGCCAGTCAATTTTAAAATAGATAGGGAACTATGATTTTGGAGTTACTGCGAAGTTTTGGAACTATTTTGCTTAGCGTAGGTAGCTGACTAATTGTGTTCACATCATAGTAAATCTGAATTTGTCGTTATTACATTGGGGGCGCATTGCGCATGCGCCCCCAAAAACAAATTGTTTTATAATCTCACAACCTTCACCTTTCTGACATTCCGAGACCCAAACAAATTCAGCGCCTTTTGTGCTTTGATTTAAGGAAGTAGCCACGATATGCAAGGATAAAGTGTGGCTGTCATAAAAAATGAAAAATGATTTTCTGATGCAACTCTAGTCATGCAAAATTCCATATGTATCAATCTCAAGCTGTTATAGAAAAAAATCTAAACGCTGTCGCTGCGTAAGATGAATTATAGTATATAAAAATAAACTTATACAGGAAAATACATACAGATAGTCAGTATGATTTAGATTGCAAAGATCAGAAAATACCATAGAGCTGCAGCCCTTTGATTTAATAAAATGCTGTTCATGGCCGTAGGACAAGGGAGGTCGGTTGAGGGGCTTAACCCATAATGATTTCTGCCTCATGTTTAACGGTATCCTGCAACGTCCAAAATGAGCCAATTATTTGCAAAATCTTTGAAAATATAACGTCACATAATGATTAATTATTAAAATTGGAACTCTTATAAATATCAAATATATTTTTTTCTTTTTAATCTATACAATCTGATTTTGGCTCGTTTGCTTACACTTTTCTTCCATTCATTAATTAAATTTATGCTTCCAGAAACAATGGCAAAGTTTATAATCAGTTTTAAGAAAACAAAACAATTTTAAAATGAATATCAGAGAAAAACAATAACATTAACTTTACTGTTTTATGATTAAACTGCCCAAATCCATCCCTGTCAAGATGTTTAAAGATTTTTAAAATGTAAAATCCGATTACTAAATCTGTGAACTAGAAACATTGGATAGTTCATAATAATTCAACAATCACATAAAAATAACTTTCCATTGCCAAATTGCTAAAAAAAACCTGCCATGATGATATCCTTAAATATGCGCACATTCAAATGAGCTTTTCCTTTCAAATATTTTCTGACCGCGCATGTCATTTCTGACGTAACATAATTATGAAATTGTGAACTAATGAAATCGCGAATTCATGAAATCACGATTTCACTTTGAAAAAAATGAAATCGTGAATTCATGAATTCACGATTTCATTATTTCACTATTTCATTATTTTATTTTTCAGGTTGTTTTAAGAGAAATCGTGAAATTATGAAATCGCGAATTCATAAATTCAGTATTCGAGTCATTTTACAAACTGTAGATTTAGATACCGAAAAACAACAAAAGAAAAACACTAACGTATCATTTAATTCCAGAATTCCAAAGATGGATGCTTCCTGGTTAAGGGTCATGCATTTTTACTATACATGTATAATTCATCCCTTTTTAGCTCGGCGTATTTTGTGTGTGTGCGTGCGTTTGCGCGCGCGCGCGCGCGTGTGTGTGTGTGATATTTTTCGAAGATGTCGGCGTTACCGTTTCCATTGTTTCGCATGTGTATTGTTGCTGTTGCCTTTACCTTATACAATCTTTAACATTGATCGTAACCTTTTGATTTCTTAGTTTATTGTTATACTTAGCCTAGTCACAACAACTTTTAGGACAAGATCTACAAGTACACCAGACTAACTTTGACCTTCATTCATAAATGACATTGACCTTCAAGGTTGAATGTTTGAAGTTTGTTTGATTTTTGTTGATTTTTGCTATAAGGTGCAATCACTTCATTACTTTTTTTAAATGAATTGTCTCCAAACTTAAACACAGGATAGACCTTTATGTTAACGAGACAGACATTGAACTTTACTCATAAATCACCTTGACCGTGAAGGTCAAATTATTTAAGATACGGCCTTCATATATTCTAAACTAAAATTTACCTTGGCTCATTATGACCTTGACCTTGAAGGTCAGATTGTTTAACACAATGGAATTTGATACAATACTATATTGATCATAATATTGTTTTTGCAATCAAAGTAAATGTATAGATTTGAACTTTTGAACACTTCAGTGGTATTTCTTTTCTTGATTTCAATCTCATAAAAAGTTTATAATCGCAATAGATATAATGTTGTCTAATGGTATTAATTGTTTATTATCATTTAAATGAGCAATGTATAAAGTAAATTCGTCATCAAGGATTCTTTTTTTCGTGAATCTACTCTTAGATTGCCTAGGGAACGGCCACAATAAGCGCATTTGCTAACCAAATAAGGAGCGTCGTATTATTGTAATTTTCCCTATGAATGTTTCATGCTTGACATTTGGGCTATAATTGTTTGTCAGAACGGTCCAATTAGTGAAGTACATTATTATTATTATTGTTTTATTTTTTTGCAAATCGTATATCTCATCTACCAGACTGCCAGCTGTGCTTCAATGGAACTAACATTTAATAGCTAGACTTAAGAATACTAACTATATTACTGTATCGCCATATTTCATGTCAGCATGACATGAGAAAATGGGGATTAGTTCAAAAAAGGACATTGAAAGAACGCATGATTAGATTAGCAACTGGCTTTCATGAATCTAAACAAAATTTGACGGATATAAAATACCATTATAAAGGAAAATTAAATAAATATGTGAACATGGATACTAGCGTTCAAGGAGATGTTAACATGTCAGATAACGGTACCACAAACAAGACAAATCTGGAAAAAACAGTATCTAAAACTATCAAGTATGTTTCAAAACATACCAACACTGAGAGTGATAGCAAAGAGAAATACTGTAAAGGAGGCAAATCAAGTCTAACGTCCCAAAAAGCAGTACGTGATTTTGGAAAATCAGAAAGTCGTTACCAATCTGAAAGTGATGTTCAGCTAAATAAGAAAAATCAGAGTGCCACCAACAAAAACCCAACCAGTACAAGAAGTACAGTTGTTGAAATGAATTCTAGGAAGAGTATAACATCTGACGAACTCCCAACATACTTAAATCAGGGAGCGATCAAATCAGGAAAAGGGCCTAAAATCGGATCGGAGAGCTTAATAACTGATAATGTAAGATGACCAAATTGTATAACTATGTTTTAATATGCGAGTTGTTTAAACCATTATATTATACATACACCTTTAATACTGACAGTCATACATTTATTGGTTCACATCTTTTCTTATGATCTTTTTTCTTTAAACGTATATGAAAATTATTTTTGTACATATATATACATAAATATACATTATATCATATATACAATAATATATATTAATGTATATATTTACACAGTGCACGTGTATTTTCAGGACCTTCTTTTGGCTGCTACACTTGTCGCTAATGCGATGGTAGGAAATACCTTTGACGTTAAACGAGAACCCCGATTTGTCAGGTATAGTTTTCAGTATTTATGTTATGTTTTAGCATCATATTTGTAAAGGGAAGCTTTGTTGCTAATGTGTAAACCTCTTAACTAAGGGATCGTGAGTTCAAACCGTGCTAGGGTCATAGACATCTGATCCTGGGGGTATGATATAATGTTGATATTATAAGTGTATATGATTTGCAAACACCTAAAAGGCCCTTGAAATATCTGGTTAACGGAAACTACGCCGGTGTGTGTTCTTGTTTCCTTGCTTCCTTATGATCTCAGAGCGCTTTTGGAACGTTTTTGTGCGTCGTATTGTCGCTAGCTTCAGCAGGGCAAAGCGCCAAACGGCGCGTTGTCGGACTTTCGTCTTGTCGTCCTGTCGCTAACTATGCACGCTGAATGGCGCGTTGTCGTGCGGCGTGTTGTCGCGATGTCACATTTTCACTTGGCTCATATCGAAGGATTGGCTTATAAGCCTATCGACGGGGTGACATCCGCACGACAACGCGCCGCTTGGCGCGTTTCGCTAGCGACATGACGAAAACCGATGACGTAGCTATCGACAACGCAACCCGCAAAGTGTACCGAATCAGCCAGCGTTGTATTATGCTGATCCGAATCATGATGGTTTTACAAGGCTAAAAAAGTAACTTCTGTTTTGCCGGCGTATACACGAACAATGAGTATTCCGCATGTTATGATAAACACTTTGCATTGCTACATTCAGAAAACCAGTTAATGGTTTGTCGTTTATAAAATGTATTATTAAATCGGCAAACTCAATCCAAGAATGCAAGGCTGGACTTTTTGGCAACGAATAGCATCCATAAGTCTGATGTGCTGATATGCAAGAAATATATTTCTCCACCTGTGTACATTAGACATTTCATATTTATAAAGTGTTTATGTTTTCTTTTCTAATTTTTATATTTTGCAAATTAAAACTTATAATAGAAGTAAAGCACTTATTAGTCCCTTACCGGTTTACCGGATGGAACTTAAAGTTTACCCTCCGTCTGTCTGCCCATCTGTACGTCCGTCTGTCAGTCCATCAATCCACAAAACTGGATCCTGCGATAACGCAAAAAGTACTGAAAATATTTTTATGTAACTTGAAATATGGATATATGGCAGTATGGAGATTGTGCACGTCTTTTTCTCTTATTTCTATGTTGAAAATGCTGATTGCTATGGCAACAAATAGACTAACAATATGGCAAATTTTACACATAAATTGGATCCAGTGATAAAGCAAAAAGTACTGGAAATGTTTTTGTAAACCTTAAAATATGGGTAGATGGCAGTCTGAAAACTATGCACATCTTTTTTCTTTTCTTCCTATGTTGAATATTCTGGTTGCTATGACAACAAATAGACTGAAAATATGTCAAATTTAACACATAAACTCGATCTAGTGATAATGCAAAAAGTACTGAAATTTTTTATATGAAACTTAAAATATGGGTTGATGGCAGTCTGGAGATTATGCACATCGTTTTCTTTTCTTCCTATTTTGAAAAAAATGGTTGCCATGGCAACAAATAGGCTTAAAACATGGCAAATAAAACAATTTTTGTGATAAGTCAAAAAAAGCTGAAATTTTTTATGAAACTTAAAATATGGATAGATGAAATATTGAAATTATGCACATCGTACTAATCATAACTTTAAGGAGTATATTGAGAGCTGTCATACTTAACAAACGTCGGCAACCTCGTCAAGATTTCTGTTTCTAGTCTTTAGGCTTTTTCACTATAAGTTCTTTATTTCTCAAACTTCAAACATAAGTTTCTGGACAAAAATTATCAGAATTGCCTCCTTGAACTTACATGAAAAAAATGTTTTTGTTTTTTTAATAACTTCTTTATTTCTTAATGTGTTTTCTTCAAATTTCATATATATGTTTCTTATTATCACTCAAATCATGTTTCTCATAAGGAGAAGAATTCTATAAGACTTGTCTTTCATTCTCATCCTTTTCCATTGTGTAAAATGTTTTGTTTGTTATATATTTGTATGTACATTATATATACTTTCGGGAATAAATATGTTTAAACTAAATCATTTTTGAGAAGGTTCAATACTCTAGCAAGACTATTTTCAGAATTATGTCCCCCTTGAACTTAGATATTTTTTCGAGAAATTGCTATATTTTACTGCAACTTCTTCATTACTTATAGGATCCAACATCATAATAATATGACAAGGTTTATAAATCTAGCATCGTTATTTCCAGAATTATCTTCTCCTTAAACTTGATTTTTTTCTTATATATTCTTTTTAACTTTCTTTTACTTCAAATTCAAAATAAACATTCATTATGAACTGATTCATTACTAATTGTTCTTTGTTACTCTCACATCATGTATGACATCTTGGATCTTTATTTCAAGAGTTATCTCCTCTTTAAGAATTTTGCTTTTAAAAATGTTATATTTTGGTAACAGGGATGTTTGAAAAATTAACTTTAAAGTGTCCTTCAGTCTGTCTGTTCATAAAAACTGTTTCCTGTGCTCACTTTTAAAGAACTTCTCCAACAAATTTTCTTAAAAAACAGAAAAATTGAAACATTAGTGAATGGCCAATGGCCCTTCAGAATGTTGCTGGGGTTCTCACAGGTAGGGGACTTATGGATTGCTTGCAATACTATGATAATTGCTTGTTTTGTTTTTGCTTGTAAACAAGTAAGCATTATTTCCTATTAAACTAAGATGACATGCAATTTAACAACAACTTATGTTAAGTTATTAATAGAAGTTATAGAAGTAATTATAGAATTCTATTATTTAATAGAAGTTATTTACAAATGGTGAAAGTTGGGCTTTAAAATTGCTATTCTCTATTAATATTTAAGAATTTATATTCAAGCATTATATCTATGTTGTTTTTGTGTATCTTTTAGGTCTTACAACTTGTACAAGTCCAAATTAATGTGTTTGCTGTTGTACATGGCTATCTTATGTACACTGTCACTGGCAATATTTGAAAAACCAGCCATGCAAGATTTTGAGATGCCATATTGGGTAACATTTTACTGATATAACTAGACTAGTTCTGACTTTCAACAAATGTATCAGAGCATTATGTCATCTTTAGCGTATGTTTTTCTATTCAATGAGGTCTTTATTACATGGCGTGCTTTGAAATCATTTCTCGGCAGTATTGCTACATTTGATGCAGGTCTAAATCAATGACTTATGTGCAAAATTTCAGATCGTTTGCAATCTCTGTTTTACCAGAATTATTTTTTTTAAAAATTACAAAAAACTGAAAAACGTTGTTTATAACACTTTTCGCTCAATTCGGGCCAAGAATAGCACAAAAATACAAATGTTCCATTTATTATTAGCTTAACTGACCACGAAGTGGTCAAGGTGAGGTATAGTGATAGGTCCAGCGTCCGGTGTCGTGATTCGTGGGTCGTCAACATTTGGGTTGTACTCTAGCAGTCAAAGTTTTGATTGGATCATAATCAAACTTTGTCAGAATGTTCGTCTCAATGAATTGTCTCCTGTTTTGTCTCAGGTCAAGTTCGAATATGGGCCATATCGGGTCAAAAACTAGGTAACAAGAGCTAAAAATAGAAAAGGCTTGTTAACACTTTAGTTGCAGCAGTTTTGATTCAAATATCCTGAAAGTTGGTAAGGAAGGTTGTTTTGATGATTTGTTGGTCAAATTTGAATATGGGTTGTCTCCGGTCAAAAACTAGGTGACAGGAGCTAAAAACAGAAAAATCGTTATAACACTCTAGTGGCTACTGTCCAAATATCCTGGAAATTGGTCAGGAAGGTTGTTTTGATGATTTCTAATTTAAGTTCGAATATGGGTCGTTTTCGGTCAAAAACAAGGTCACAGGAGTTAAAATAGAAAAATCTTGTTAACACTCTAGTGGCTGTAGTTTTGATCCAAATATCCTGGAAATTGGTCAAAACGCTTGCTTAGATGATTTAAAGGTCAATTTTGAATATGGGAAATCTCGGGTCAAAAACTACGTCACAAGAGCTCAAAATAGAAAATTTTTGTTAACACTCTAGTGGCTGCAGTTTTGATCCAAATATCCTGAAAATTGATCAGGAAAGTTATTTTGATGTTTTCTAGGCCAAGTTCAAATATGGGTAACTTTGGGTTGTCTACGGTTAAAAACTAGGTCACAGATGCTAAAAATAGATAAATCTTTTTAACATTCTAGTGACGACTGTTTTTGATCCAAATATCCTTGAAATTGTTCAGAAAAGTTGTTTTGATAATTATTAGGTCAAATTCGAATATTGGTCACCAAGGGTCAAAAACTAGGTCAAACTGACCAAATATGGAAAAGCTTGTAAATACTCTAATGGTAATATTTTTTACATCAAACTTTGTCAGGATGCTTGTCTAATTAATTGCTTGGAGGAGTTTGAACATCTGATAAAAACCCAGGTCACAGGAGCTAAAAGTAGAAAATTCTTGTGAACTCTCTAGTTGCTATTGTTGTTATCCAACTATTCTGGAAATTAGTCTGCAAGTTTGTTTTGATTTGATGATTTCTAAGTCAAGGTCTAATATGGGTCATCTCGGGTCAAAAAACTTGTTTTAGAATGCTTGTCTAAGACTTGCTTGGATTAGGTCGATTTGTCAGGGGAGCGATATAGGGCCGTCTTCGCCCTCTTGTTTTACTATAGTTCTTCAATATTTTTTACATAACTTTTTGATTTAATTGCCCAAGTTGAAGCATGTAAGAAATTCAAATTCTATTCTTTCAGTGTTTTGGACCCGTATGGAGTTCCATTTTTGATAATTGTTAAAAGAGGTCAACGTACATTTGTTAAGTTGGCTAAATTTGTTTTATTTGTACAGATCTTGTCTTGGATTTGTTAAAATTTAACACATGATTTTAATCATATTTTGCATTCCAATTTTTGCCAATACACGAGTACATATAACATGATCATGTTACATTGCACATGTTTATCATTACTTGTGTAACCGCACACAATTTGAAACCCTCATTACACGGAATATGTAACGAAAGAGAAAAAAAAAACAAACGTTTTTTACTCTAAAAATGAATAGTATGGTATTTGACGTTTCCATTACATAAAATGCCATAACGGGTTATTACATAATTGTAGACAAATTACAAGTTGAATATTAATTATTCATCAAAATGGCACAAATATAAATGAATTGGTATAATGGGAAGCAATTATTTTTGGCATGTGATATTGGTTTTAAATGTCAGTAAATATCATGTTAAAAGCCATTCGCAATGAGGAGTACTAGTCCTAATGCATGCATTATCTGAAAAGAGTATTCGATAATTTTTTGAAACACAAAACAATACACTTATGCTTATACTCGTACAAGTATGCAACGATTTATCTTTATATACTCCTAGAAATCATCGGTTGAATTTGCTTTTTTACAAAAATTAAGGTCACTATATTTTGATTTCAGTTTATTTGATTAAAAAATATTTCATTTCACAAATATTGATATTTCATAACCGAATATAAATATTGATTTACTGCATATACAAATATGTTTTTTTTAGCTGGTGAATTTGATGTGATATGTACTGAAAAAATTAATATTGACCGAGGCAATAGCCGAAGTCTATATAAATTTTTCACTTCATATCACATCATATTCACCAGCTAAAAAGTAAATATTTGTTTTATTATATAATCCATATGGGATATCAAATCTATCATTGAATACGACGGAAATCGACATTCCTTTTTCCATTATTTGGCTCCGACATTTTAATGAGCGGATTGGCACGCTAAATCCGAAATATTCTTAAAAATGTAAAGACGGTAACTAAAAAAGACCAATTTGACGTTTTATTTAATTTTACCCGTGAAATATGGTGCTTTTTCAGTCAAACATATTTCTATTTTTTAAAATGAATATGAAATATAAATATGAAAGTGGGCGGAGTCAAAACTCATATTTATTTTAAGGGACTTCTTTCGCCATTTTGTTTAAATTATCTTATTAACAATAAAGCAACCTTTTGTTGAATTTTGTTTTGAAAACTATCTAGTATGATAGAAAATGGTCTAACTTAGAAATTAAATCCGAATTCCAATATCTTTAACTGTACAAATGTTTAAAGAGTGTTTTATGTGAAGTCACAATGTAGCGCCAAACAGCGCGTGCAAAAACTGTCAAAACAATAAATTACTGCGCACTGTACAATTGCAGTTGGGTAGCAAGCAAGGAGATTCGTCACCATTTTTCTTTGATAATTAAATTAAATAAAAAGGTTATTTTTTCGTTTTTGGTGAAATATGGTATATATTTTCACTCAACATGATAAAATGCCACATATTTTCACTCGCCGTTCCAGCGTTTCGTGAAAATATATTTCATATTTCACTCAAACGAAAAAATATCCTCTTAATATTTCACCTCGTCAACACCAAAAGTTCATATTGCACTCCTGGCTGCGCCACTCGTGAAATATACCTTTTGGTGTTTACTCGGTGAAATATATATATATAGGCTTTTAAATGAGTGTAGGTTTTAAACTTAATTTATTGAACGAGTTGAATAAAATCATATTATGCGAGCCTCTGGCGAGAATATTAAGAGGATATTTTTCCGTTTGAGTGAAATATTGAATATATTTTCACGAAACATGATAAAATGCGACATATTTTCACGAGCCGGGACGGCGAGTGAAAATATGTGGCATTTTATCATGTTGAGTGAAAATATATACCATATTTCACGAAAAACGAAAAAATCAAAGAAAAATGGTTACAAATCCGCGCAGTAATATATTATTGCGTCTTCAAAGCAAAATTCAACAAAAGTTGTTTTGTATTTATCAGATTTTTCAAACAAAATGGCGAAAGAAGTCCCTTAAAATAAATATGAGTTTTGACTCCGCCTACTTTCATATTTATATTTCATATTTATTTTTAAAAAATATGAAATATATTTGACTGATATAGCACCATATTTCATGGGTAAAATTAAATAAAATATTCTATTTATGGCATATCCAAATTAAGAACGGTATACAGTTAAAAAGAGTCATTTTTCATTGACGCGCCTATAGTGTAACGCAAACATTAGCGCGCTTTAACACTATATTTCTATATATAGCGCAAATGACCTCACGTCAAAGTGTTGTTACACTAGTGTAATATCGTTTTTTTTTTTTTTTATTAAATGGCTTTATTACACTTATGAGATAAACTCTGATCTAACACTGAACTAAACAAATATCCTTTATATAATCATCTGATATACCGTATTACAGCGAAACACTGGAAAGCATAACGCAATCGATATCTATTAAATGGGCGAACAGCTCTGATATCTAAGCGACCTCTGAAATTTCAGGGGCGTAGCTTGAAAGAAACCAATGTGTAGACATTTGTGTTTAGGGGGGTCCGGGGGCATGCTCCCCGAAATTTTTTGAAAATCTACATTGCCATAGCTGCAGCATGAAGGAAGAGAATTCACAATTTTGCTGCATTTTGGTTACTTTTTTTCCATCAATATGAAGATGACAATACTTCTATCACTAACTCATTGCAAAGCCACTGTGACATTTTGGCAAAAAAGAGTTTTTTATCCGTATATAACTTTGGGGTAATTAACACTACATTTAAAGAGAGCAAATTTATGCAAATTTTGAAGCAAACAATAAAATTTAAAAATTCAAAATTAGGTTGTCTAAATATATACATAATTAGAAATGATAAAAACAAAGATCTACAAGATTGAACAGCACCCTTAATTAATAATACCTTGCTGCACCGAACAATTGGTATTTAAATACCAAATCATGATGCAATATCTAATGTCACACAAACAGCATCGAATACATTTTCTTATTTAAGATGTTATGCTCCCATAATTCATAAACGAAAGCCTCTGGTGTAACATATATATAACATAGGATAGACTGTTTACGTAAAGTCAAACTTATAAAGACAAAGCAAACTTACACCTCCAGTAACTAAGTACGTTACCGACAGTAATGTAAGAAAAAGAATTCCGAAGAACTTTTATTATCAAACAT